AAAAAAAAAAAAAAAAAAAAAAGAAAAAGAATGAAACTGAGAATATTGTGTAAATGTACTATTTTTAAGTGTATAAGAGTCCAGAAAAGACCTTTTTATACGTCAAAATTGAAAACTAACCTATTGTAATTTTATTAAACTATAAACTAATGGAACCAGGGATTTAGCTCAGTGGTGCCACAGCCAGCCTCATAAGGGCAAGGTCTTGAGTTGGATCCCTGGTACCAAACAAAAAAACAAAAAACTATAAACTACTGTAAATTTATCAAGTCCTTTGAAATTTGAGTCAAGACCGATAAAGAATGAAATGGTGAAACCAGAGTGACACTCCACTTTAGGTTGTTTTGGTTGTTGCCTCTTAGTAATTTTTACTTCAGTGTCTTAAAAGTTAGATGCACCATTGTGGAAATTGTGAAGGTGTGAAATTAACATCTGCCAGCCCAAAAGGGGGATATTTCTCTTAAGATTTTCCCTGACATATCTTAAAGACTATTGCTGTTTGAGAGGATCCAAAGAGCAGAGTGAGAAATATTTATAGCATATGAGTATCATAAAAAATGTAATCACGAACTAACAATACATTAAACTGGTAGGACATAGTTTACATTAGATCATAGGAATGAATATCAAAAATACAGGCAATATTTTTGAAAAAACAACCAGCAGTGAAAAATTTATTTATAATAGAAACCAGACACTCCAAAATAATTTGTGGTTTACTTAATTCTTACCGTTCATCCTATATTCTTTTGTATAAACTGAAGGAAGGCACCCGAGTAACTACCTCAGCTGTTTTTGATTTTGATTCTGAATTTTTAGTGAGATGAAAACTCTACTCTATATAACAAAAAGATGCCATGTCATTTTTAGAAGTTTTAGATTTTTTCCCCCAGTGTAGATAAGTATTAAAAGAAATGTATTACAATAAATTACTATATTTTCAAATTGTCTTATTATTTCTGGGCAAATAATAATTGCATATAAATTTTGAATAAAGGAATATCATATTGCATCTTATGTGTTCTGGACCTTGCACTCCTAGAAAATCATTACAGTAACAAAACCAGCTGCATGTAATAGAAAGCAAATGATTTACAATGTTACTATGAGAAACTACTTTATTTCATATTATCATGAAAAGAACAGAACTGAATATTTGCATGACAAATAGGAGAATCCAGAAATTCCAAATGCTACTCAGTTTTTTTCTTTCTCTTTAATTTAAATAGGTTTTAATGCTGGAAGGTGATCTGGATGTCTTCTAGAGAATATTAGCAATTATAATTATTATTAGTCCAACAATTGAAAGAAAAAACTACAAACACAATACACTATAGAGAGAATAATATATGCCTCTATTATAAACATCAATCTGTGCTTACATTTAGTGATTTTGAACACTTTATTTCATTCAAACTGAGAAGAATGCATTTTTGTTCCTAAATGAAGCTTGACCCTGAAATTTGAACCACACTGAAAACCTTCAATGTCTTTGTGTTAATATGTTTTATATATTTATTAACCATCACATCTGCTCACCAACAGTCCAATACAAGGGAGCTAGTAGTCTCTTTCACACCCATAACTAGAAGGAACTCAGAGCCCTGGCTCTCCCAGTCTTACCAAACCACAAGGTCATGAGCCTGTGCCACTGAGATATGGCCTGCCTTAGGGAGAGAAAAGTTGAATTTGGCCCAGGAGACTCTCAGCCAGGGAAGTGAGAGCAGACAGTCAAGACCACAAGGAGTCCGAGCAAAGAAAAGAGAGAATTAAGATGAGGAACAAAACAGGAACAGGCAAGAGTTGTATGTTAGATCCAAGCCGGAGGGTACCAGCTGACAGTGAGCAGACAGTGACACAGGGAGAGGCACAGACAGCCAGAGGAACATCTGTGGCGAGTCACCATGCCTTCATGAGCTCCAGTTCTGGTCTCCAAGCTGCTAGGCTTAAATAGCCATGAAACTTCATGTCTTTAATTTTCTTCTTCATATATTAGTGCAGTCACACTTTAGTATTGGACTGCCTTAAAAATTATTGAATTTGGTACTCAATGAGTTTGACATGAAAACTTTATCCCATGCAGGTTGTTTGGTACTGTTTGCACAAGCTAGAACTTGCTGGTGTCCGTTGCACTGTGACTCACTGTCCTTTCCAGCCCAAACAATTTGCTTGTTATTCGTTGTTTTTAGTACTTGCTGTGCCTCCAAAAACCACTTAACAAGAGTATCGAGCAAGGTACTATTGTACAACAAAACCATTCTACACAAATTAACTGCTATGAGTCTCCAGTTCCTGAAACCAAAGAACCTATAATTATATACATATGTACAAAATCAAACCTATTATATATAGCCTATATGTAACATATAATATGCTGTAATATGTAATTATATCTTATATATTTATAATATAGTAGCATACAAAATGGGATGTTTATCTATTTGTAATAATATATAATACTAAACACAGAAAAAGTATCTAGGAAATGTGTTACATATTACACACTACGTTTTAAAAATTATAGGTTCTTATATAATTCATTGGATCAGGGAAAGTTCCCAGGACACAAATAATGCCTGATTTCCAAAGTCTGAGAGTCTTATAAGAGCTATCAGAGTTCTCTTTAGTGGTCACGCTTTTTAGGGAAGCAATTAATTCAAGTGACCTAATCAGTTTTATGGTGAGTACACCGGGTGCATATTAACCATATTTATACATAATTGAAAAAGTACACTAAAGGAGCACAGCACTCCAGCTTTCGGTTTATGTCTTCATTATTTAATCACTCTGTCTTAATAACATTAAAGCACAATATACCAGCTATTATAAGAGTAGGCCATCGCCCTGAAATTTGGGGCTCTCTTAAGGTGTATTTGCTTTATAAATTTAAACATCAGTTTTACCAGGTGGATGAAAAATCTCAAAAGTTATTAATTGGCCAAATAAGATGAGGACTAAAAACTGACTCTAGGAACAAGGGGGTGAAGAGCGGTAAAAGCAAAATCTAACTGGAGGGTGTTCTCGGGAAAATGAGACAAAGAGAGAGAGAGAGAGAGAGAGAGAGAGAGAGAGAAATAAAATACTTGGAGGAGTCTTTCAAGAAATTTTGTTTCAAAAGTGTAAGTCGCTAGAGGCAATGTACGATCAAGCAAATTTCTTGTCCTTTTTAGTCTGAGAAATATTACAACACATTCGTAAATTGATAAGATTGATCCAGTAGAGAAGAAAGCACTTAAAGATGCAGCGGGGAGAAAGGATAATGGTGGAGGCAGACTTCCTGAGCAGACAGGAAGAATGAGATCAATGACTGTGGAGAGATCAATGACTGCGAAGGGGTAAGATAGGATAACAGAAGGGGAGAAGCAAGAGGAGCATGAGAAACCTTCATGAAATAATTTTCTATTAATGCATTTCAAATTTGCATTCATTTCGCCAGTAGCCTCACCAAAATACCGAATTCTACTATAGTCAGTCTACCAGGACGGACCTTAGGTCTTTTTCCTCTATGTTCTTGGCCAGTTATCACAGTCCATGGTACAGCTAATGTTTAGAATGAAACTGACTCGGCATCACGTTAGCTTTATATTAATGCATTTGCAGCCTTTGGTGCTAGTGTAGTGTCAAAGCTGACAGAATAGGGGACCCACTCCCATCTTGTGACATCATGGAAAGCCCCTGGGCCTTGGACACCACTCCACTTTGCTTATAATGCATTCTCCCTTGTAGAAGGTATGAGTTTCCGGCCATGTACTCAGTGATGGATAAGAAATGTAACCTGTTTTCCTATTACTCGTCATCATCTCTATTTTGACTCCCTTATTTAGATTCCTATCAAAATTTATCCAGAAAATATCAAATCTGGACACACCCAATCATTTCAGTGTTTAAACTACAAATATTCATTGAAATATTTCAGGTAAGAATTTCCTCCTCTCTTTCCCTTTCTCTGGGACACAAACTGAGGTTTCAGGGAGAAGCCCAACAGGTCTATTTCGTTAGCATCTGCTCCCACAAGTACCTGGGTGTATTAGGTTCTAAGAGGTCTCATGGTCGGTCCCTGATCCTTGGCCCATGTCCTTGGAACTTACTAATCCTGAAGGACTAGATTTATTGGTCCCTTCTCAATCATTGTCAAGCCTTTCAGGGGGCTTTTCAGATGTTCTCTGGTGCTTCTTTGATGGCAGGAGGCTTAGAGCCATCTGTCCTCCTGCCCTACTACTTTACTGCTACTGTCACTGCCCCAAGACAACATCATGGATGAGACAGGAGCTGTTAGATACAAGTGGCATCTGTGTTTAGATGCCCACAATGACCTGAAGTCTCCATTGTCAATTTTCCTAGTCTTATGCTGGAGAAAGGGGAAGGAAAAAGGGAAGGTCTTGGGACCATTTCTCCTGCCCCGACATCCTGATCTTCTACACAAGTGTCCGTATTCTTCATTGTGAGTGAAATCTGTGTCTAGTCTGCCTCTCGAATCAGCTGCATCCGTCCCAAATTCTTTATTTACTGCATAACCCTTGGCTTTTGTGACCTCTTCTGATACTGTCTGCTTTAAAATGGGAAAGCTGAGAAGTGATTCTTTTGTACACACTGCCCTTCCTGGGAGTAGTAGGTCTGGCTTTTCCAGTTGCTGCCTGGAATGTGGAAGAAGGTCACAAGGGGAATGGCAATTACTACAAATGGGAAACACATAAATTATTATCAAGATATTATCAGCCTTACAACATATGAGTTGTTAAGGAATGTTTTTCTAAGGAGGTATCTGGTTTGCCCTTCCACAATAAATTTATGTTTAGCCTGTTGCAATATAGTATATTCTTTTTGTTCTGTAATAGCCAATCAGTTTGGGCCTATCCTATGCATGTATCTATGTAGCTACCACATTCTTACTTATCCTTCACTTTATAAAGTTGAGTTGGATTCAGTATAGTTTGAATGATGGTAAACTACAATTTTCTTACTTTTAAATTTATTTAATTTGTATCATTCTAAGTAACCACTTGTTACAGGAAAAAAACCTGTGAATATTAAAATGCACACATTTAACAGATACAAGCCTAGAACCATGACAAAATTTCATATTTGTAAAATCCTTTACTGTTTACAAAAGGGTTTTACATGCCTTAGTGTGCTTTGTTCTCCAGCAAAATGAAGATTGAGGTGGTGTGTGAGCTTTGGCCTTCTGGATGAAAACTCAACACTATTTTCACAAGGGACAGAATTTTAGCGTTTTGCCCTTTGATGATGAAAGCAGAAATGTTGGGTGATGTCCTAGATGACTCGTCCATGTATGAGGTTTATTAATTCACTTTGAAACCTTTGCTGCTTATGGATTCCAAGACCGCAGCACAGGCTGTTGCTTACCTCAGTGTTCCAGTAGTTGCAAAAGAGATCAGTTATCGTCTGCTTGACTCCGTGCTTTCACTAAGGCAGCATTAGGCCCTGGCATCATGTCAAGGATGCTCAGATAATGCTTAAAGCCAATTGAAGGGTAAGAGTTGTTCAAAGGATATAAAGGATCTACTTTCCAATTGTCCTGCCGCATCCCGATGTGAAGGATGCCCAGAGAGAGTCCTGTGTTTGGCTTGGCTGTGTAAGATCATCCACGATTATTCCAACTGCTAGAAAGTGATTACTGTACATGTTTGCAATCATCCTTCTCCATATTACAAACTGTAGGTGCTCTGAAGGTGACTTAACCTGGAATGTGTAAAAGGTAAGCATGCACTTCTGAGTCAAAAATAGTTTTATTATCAAATATTCAGATTGACTCTGACATTGTTCAGGTCAGCTGAAAACTGCTTTAGGAGAAATGGTTTAAAATCTTACCCTGGAAAGGAAGTTTGATCTATCTCTCAAAATGCCATTTCCCCCTAGGCGTTATACCAAGCACATAAAATATAACAAATAAGAAAATGTATAACAAATGGAACAGATGATTTGAAAGTCCTTTACTTTGTTTAGCACAGACTAAGTAAGAAATGTAGAAAGCACTAGATCTCCTGTCACAGGAGAAACACTACCCCAAATTCTTTAGCCAGCAGTTCACTAGTTTAATGCTCTTCAAGTGAACACATACCAGAAATATGTTATAGAACATTCAAGAAATATAAATAAAAATTCTTATTTGCTTAAAAATACCTGTTTTGGATTTTAATAACACATAAAAAATTAACAGATATTTACAACATATAAGATGATAAATATATGTAACTCTGATAATCATTTCTTTCAGTAATAAACAAGATTCTCCTGACTTTGTTAAAAACCTAAAGCAATGTTCTGGAAAATTTCAGTAAGTCTCCCCAATGATGAGACCATCGAAATTTGGAGACAAATACCTAAGTCTTCATAAAAATCTTCTCACAAGAACAAAAACCTCTGTTTTGTTGTTTGTTTGGTTTGGTTTAGTTTGGTTTTTTGAGACAGGGTCTCACTGGCCTCCACCTTGCAGTGATCCTCCTGTTTCAGCCTCCCAAGTGCTGGGATTACAGGCATGTGCCGCTACACCCAATTTAATCTCTTGTTATTCAGAAAATACAATAAAAGGATTTTAAGAACTCTAAATCTGGAATCGATCAAGCACAAATAGATTATGGCTTGCCAGGTCTGAAGCTCTTCAGTTTATAGTACCACTATTAGAACTGATGTTCATCAGTAACAGTCATAAACTTTCAATAATTTCATCATCAATTGTCAAAAACAGGTATAATTACAAAAAAGATCCCCACATATGTGCATAGAAGACAGATTATATGTCAGTGCAATGCTGTTTATGATAGTTGAAAAATTGCAAGCACTTCAACATGCTTTGGAAGGACAAAAGATCAGATGAAACTTATTCATCTCATCCCGTACCATGTAACAGTTAAAGTAAACCAATTTCTCTTCTATGTATTAATAGGCATTGATTTTACTGAGGTTATGAAAATTGTACAATATGATGAATACAATATAATATGAATAAGGAATTGAAAGGTATATATCCCAAACATGATTATGTACAAGTATGAATCCTATCTCATAAATTCCTATCTTTCTCAGCATGATCAAAAGTTTTAAAAATTTACAAATATTATAGAACAGAGGTTATATTTATTTCTACATATAAAAAGTTTAAGGCTTTTCAAAACCACATGAATTTACATATAATTTCTTCCAACTCTTGAACTGTTGTCCATTTCCTCTTGCAGGGCCTATTAATAAAAGTTACATTTGTTTCCTCTCTGTGATCATTAATTTCATTCATTCGAGAGAGAGATTTCAAGACATCTAAAAGAATATATTTGTTTCCTCCTGAATTAGAGAATCCTTCATTAATAAGTTACATAAGAAGGAAATCTGCTTTAGTATATTTTTCAAATTCAGTTAGATAATTACAATGCAATTTGTGCCTTTGTGTTGTGGATGTACTACTTGGAATTACTGAATGTTAGAGGGGCACATCAGTGGCTGCTCTCACATACTTATATTGTACAGGTGGCCCAAAGAAGAGAAATTACTTCCCCAAAGATATGTGGCTAGGATAGGTGGATCTGGAATTATAACCCAGGCTGCTGGCTGGAGCTCTATCTACAAATACCATGTTGCTTCTCTTGTAGCACATACATATACTGCCCAGTCCCAGAAGACAAATTAATCAACCCACTGATGAAAAAACAATCCTCCAAGACCCCCAATACAAGCTCACTGCTCTTATAACTTTAAATCAATTTGCAAGATGCTTCGTTTAGTTTTTACTGGTGCTATGAAGATTGATCTATGTATCTTCAATATACCTCTGCCATTTATATACATGTATGAACTTTATAGACATTTCAGTTGTATGTGAGGTGTGTCTACGTATGTATGTGAAATCTGAAGATTGTGACGATGCTTTGGGAAAACTTCTTGCTGACCCGATGTTTCTGCATCTCCATCTGGAAAGTGATTAATAGTCATTACTAATGTACATGGGAACATTAACACTCTCGACCCATTGGGCTATTTAAACAGTGAGAGTGTTGTCATTGTCCTGCAACAGATTTGCAAGACATGATTTTACAGATGCTGATGTCCAGAGGGAACGTCTTCAACAATGGTTGCACTTTACTGAAAGGTGCAGCACTTAGTAAATGTTTTCATCTGTGAAACCTTCTGTGCCTGGGGAATAATGCTGACCATTCTGACTTTCTGGTCATTGCAGCAAGGATCGTAATAGTTTAAAATTAGAATCTTCAGCACTTCCCTTGTATAAAATTTTCTCAAGCCCTTGATTTTGGAATTGTACCAAACATTCCTGGATGTATCATTACTAAGAGTACAATGATAAAAAAAGTGATTCCTTTCAATTCTGGTATGTTGTCCTTATGTAGGCAATCCTTCTTCCCCTCTTACAATTACTGTCCAAATATATCTTAAAATTAATAAAAAAGCATTAAAACTGTAAGACAATAAACATTTTGGCAGAATCACTTTGATCCAAAGTTATATATAATTGCCATTATTTTTCATATGAGCCAATTATTTACTTGACCCAGCCTACATGTTTTATTTTCTTAATAAAAACAGAGAATGACTTCTCTTTTATAACCTAATTCTAGATTCTTTTTAGCTCATGTGACTCATTTGTTTCCCCTATGAGCAAGAATATGCTATTTTCTTATGCTGGCTTTAAAACAATAAGTGGTAAGTTCTGATGTTCAGCCAGTCAGTAAGACTAAACAATTTTGCCCTAGCCAGGTTTTATGACAACTCAAAAGAAATTTAGGTGCGATAGGAAGAGAGGTTAGCAATTCCAGTTGTTCAGCTCTTTTCTTTAGAGTATTCTCTGCTTGTGTTGGAGTCTGTTATTGCGTTGCCATGAACTACTGCTGCCAATTTCCACCCTAGAGATGGCTAAATTTCAGAGATGAGTGAAATGATACTTGTAAACAAGTTTATAATCATTAATAAAGCTTACCAAACAATTTAAGCTCTTTAGAAACACACATTCACTATTCTAATTAATTGCTGATTGTTTACTTAATTGCAACTTTTAAAAGAGACACAAGCCTTTAAAAATGTTTATAAAAGTTCTAAACAACTAAATTGGATTTCATGATGCTTATTTTGTTTTTGTAAGCTTCAGGTGTCAAATTATTTCTCCCTAGAGATGCTGGTCAAATTCCACCACTGACTGTTTCAATGTACTTTTTAAAAATCCTTAAGAATATTTTTCTTTAAAGTTGACAACTGCCCACTCTGGGATCCAGATGCTATACACACAGTGAGATAATTTTATTCTGGTTTCCACACGTGGCCCTGCATAAGCTGTCTCCCAGGGATGGAAAGTTCTGCTGCAATTGGAGAAGTTTTAAACTTGGCCTGAAAATAATAAACACAGTATCTTACATGTTTGTAGCCATTACAAGTTGAAAAAAGTGAATTCATAGCTATCATACTGTTTTACTCTTAAAATCAGTCCCGTGAAAGGAGAAAGGCATTAAGTTGCACAATAAATTGGCTAGCATGCCTTCTGAATGCTTAGCGCTATAAAGGCTTTGCATGACACGTTATTCCAAAGGACTTACAATTTCCTTGGGAAGACATGAATAGAAATGAAGGCAACAGAGATACGTCTCTTGAACCTGGGAGATAGAAGGACAAAAAGAGAATTAGAATTATGTGCCACACTGAGCTAGGGAAGGTCCATGCATTATTTCCTAAGTCCTTCCAACCTATCCTTCGAAACCAGGACATGGTTTGCACGTGGTCTGAATAGTGTACAAGACCAAGAAATGATTTTGGACCCCATAGCTATAACGGGGTCCGAGACTAATTGCAGCTGTTTTATTCGTGTAAAAACTGAGGCTCAGAGAGGGGAAATAACTTGGCCAAGGTCACACAGACCAACGGCAGCAGACGCCAACCCCAGTGTCACTTTCCTTGAATTCTATTAATCCCTGCGTTAGTTTTGCTATCTTTAATTAGCTTCTCTCTCTTCTCAGTCTGGGTGAGCGATGTGACTTTTAGTCAATTGATGGGCTCTTCTCTTTTCGAGATGGAGATACAGGGTTGGAGCAAGACACGTTTCAGTCAGTGAAGAAGACCACCAGTTCAGTCTGCCAACACTGCTGGAACCCGAGCTCTGCCACGCAACTGGAATCTCGGGTAGACAAGAGCAGAGTCATCCTTAAAGATTGAACTCGGGTCCCTCCCTAGTTTGGGTAACCTCCAGGACATCAAGATCTCCTCTGGGGAGCCCCTCCCCCCTCCTGTGGGCCTTAGCAGGACTCTTGAGTTCACAGAGCCCAACACCTGGCCAGGATTCACCTAGAACCCAGCGGGGCAGCATCCCGCCGAGCGCGCCTCTGGTCGCCACAGCAACGGGGGAGGCGCTAACCCCTGACCCCAGCGGCCCCGCCC